TATTGCTCTCGTTACAATGAAACTTGCAGTTGGTCAGTGTCTACAAGTACTGACAATATACACAGTATGTCCAGAAAAGCAAACTGTATTGTATTGTGACATAATTTGTCACAATAACAATATATATTGCCCTACTTTAATGCATGCAGAAGGCTGACATGTTTTCCCTGTCCTGTAAAATTCCCTTTTTGGACACAAGAATTTTTCACGATAGCAATGATTCAATGATTGGCTCGAATTCACATTGAAAAAAATCAGATTTTTGTGCTCACACCACTCAGAAAAAGTCAGATTTGTCCCAAACTTTGTCCCAGCAATGTGAATTTAGCCCTAACCCAATCTGCAATGAGAAAGGGAAGAAGACGGAAAAAAAAAAAACGAAAGAGAGAATTTCGTGAGCCCTTGCTGTATCGACAGTATCCTCAGTCCTGGCCCTGGCTCTTCTGCTCCCTCGGTCTCAAGACGGCGGTGGGGGGTGTCCGCTGCATGTTGCCGTGGCGACCAGGTGTGTGAGCTGGCAGGTGGAGGCTCGTTTAGGAGCATTAGGCCCTGCCACGCGCCGGCAGGAAGACTAATCACACTTTACCTGCCTCGCCCCTCGCATCCCTCCACTACTGCCTACACAGCACAAAGAGCCACGAGCGGCTCTCCATTACACACACATCTCACACTTACACACACACTAACACACACGCACACCTGGGACACATTTATGACCTGATGGATCTGCAAAGAGGAAAAGCAGCGCCGGAGGAAGCTGGGGCTCAAGAGGAATGTCCGTGTGTGTGTGTGTGTCATGGCTTGGTTCCACTGGAGTTTAAGGGTCAGTATTTTTCACACTTCAAAAAGAGTGTGGAAGCGAGTGATTGGCACCAGAGGTTTTTTTTAAAGCTGGGGAATCAGACATGCCTTTGGGGGTTGGGTGAGGATTGGGAAGGGGGAGTTAAAGGATCTTCTGCTCTCTCTGCTGTGGAGAAAGACCATGCAGTCTCACACTACAAACATGCATGTTCACCTTACCTTAGTTGTGCCTGTAATGAACCTGCATGGAGTTTTAATCCTGGTAGAACCTGTCCAGCTCAAAAAACAGATGCACCCTTAACTTATAATGATCTAATGAACTGAATTTACTGAAGTGGATATGTGCTTCCTCACTGCAAGAACCTTCTCAGGGACCAGGAAATTGAGAACTATCAGGTGCGTTGACTGAATGAATCAAGGAGAATTTTAATTCCTACTCCAGAGTTGTACTTTTATGCACAGCAGGACCAATTGGCTTGAAATGTGTCATAGTAAATTTTCCTGACTGGGCAAAATTGCCATCCATCAATTTTGAAAACTTGCTTTTATAAGTTGTTCTAAATACCGTCAGAGGAGGCATGTAACCAGTGATGAACCAATCAAGACAAGCCAGCCTCGCTCGGAAAGAAAAATAAAAAAGAATTTGACTAGGCAAGAAAGTGAGTACCAAAAATGTTTCATATTTCCCTGTATTGGGAATTCAGCACACTGAAGATCAGTTTTCCTGTTCTAGATCACTGTACTGGTCCCGGCACACTTCCATCAAAGCATTCACTTCTAATTGTTTATACATAGTTTTTATGCATCAAATCGTCCAGCAATACAGTGATGCAATGCACCGTTAGAAAGCTTGAGATCTCCAGATCCGATTTCCACAAACCATTTTATGATCCGTTATTCACGGCAGTTACGATTGTCTCATTTGCAACATCAGCACCAAATGCAAGCACTAGCAAATTTCTGAGTCCTCACCTTCAAAGCCTCGCTGCCTCCACAGAGACACCATAATCCAAAACATGTGGTCTGGTAAAACGGCAAGAGTCAGAGATCAGTTTAGAGATCTATGAGTCAGGAGGAAATAAACTCCTCCATTCTAGACTCTGTTACTCTGTGTCACGAATACATACAATTATTCTGATTATTGGGAACAGACTTGAGAATGTTACCTTTTAAATGAGTCCAAGAACAAGACTCTAGGCCAAAGTATGTGGGAACAGTCCTCCTTTAACTTTGGATACACTTTTTCAGGCAAATATGGGGCAGCAGTTAACAGGTTAAAGAAAGCAGCTTCAGTCTCAACTTTGCTGTGTTTTTGCTTCTCTCTGAAATGACATGACCACTGCAGCATCACCATCACTTTTATTAAACTACACACTGGTCACGAATCCTGATGTGTGGCAGTAATACTAAACAGTAACTCTCTCAGGATCTGTGTAGTTCTTGCTCAGTAGTTAGTTGGCTTTTTATTCATGGCTTTTCTTGAGACTTTATTCGTATAAAAATCCTACAAAGTTGCTGTTGCTCATTATAATTCCGTTAGAATTCCCATCAGATCCTGGAGACACTCTCCACCCTGCAGTTCATCGTACTTCTCTTGGGCTCTTCCATGCGGAAAGAATGGAGTGCTTTCAGATGAGGTGGCCCCCTTTGACTTCTCCTGCTCCTTTTCAGCTCTTTTGTTGAGGACAGCGACTTTTCCACGTGAACTTTGACCCCTGCAGCTCTTGGAGTGCCCTTATCACCCCTCACTGTTTACCCCACTGGGGTCCAGCCAGCCAGAACCTTTCAGTCTTTCCTGAACCTTTTAGCTGTCGCCCCATTTTTGCCTGAAACAGCATTCCCAAAGTTAAAGGAGCCCTGTTCACACATACTTTGGCCTACAGTCATGGTCTTGGTCTCGTTTTAAAGGGAACCCTCTCAGGTTTTTTATCACCAATCAGAATAA